GAAATCCATTGCAACTCACAGACTGTGGCTGCCATACTTTTGTACTCAGCTTCTGCAGAAGACTTAGAAACTGTAGTTTGTTTCTTTGTCTTCCAAGAAATAAAAGAAGAGCCAAGGAACACACAATAGCTAGTGAGAGACCTTCTGGAATCAGGGCAAGAAGCCCAATCAGCATCGCAATAAGCTGTGACAGTAAAGGAAGAATGAGCTGGGAAAAATAAGCCTTTAGAAGGACATCCCTTTAGATACCGCAGAATGTATAAAGCAGAATCCCAATGTTCTTAGCAAGGAGAATTAACAAACTAACTTAGCTGCTAAACAGCAAAGCTAATGGCAAGTCTTGTCAAATTAAGATACAATAATTTGCCAATTAATCTCCTATATTAATCAGGAGAAGATAAGAGATTGGAAGATTCTGAACTAAGCTTGCAGCCTTTGAGAAAAGGAGTAGAAACAGGCTTTGCACCAACCAAACTTGTGTCTTCAAGGATATCCAAAATGTATTTCTGTTGATTGATAAAAGTACCCTCTGAAGAGCGAGCTATTTCTATCCCAATGAAGTATTTGGCATATCCTAAGTCTTTGATAGTAAAAACAAAATGTAGATGAGCCTTAACTACACCAATATCACTTTTTGAGTTTGCAAACCTCTCCATTTTGTGCCTTAAAATAACCATCAGGGGGAAACATATAGACTTCTTTATCCAAGTAGCCATGTAAGAAGGCATTGTTAATGTCTAATTGATGTAGTGGCCAAGAATAGGCAGTAGCAATGGCCAAGAAAATTCTCACTATAACAAGCTTGGCAACCGGAGAAAAACTTTCCAAATAATCCACCCTATAAATTTGATTGTAACCTTTGGCCACTAACCTGGCCTTGTATCTATCTACACTCCCATCTGGTTTAAGTTTAATTTTATAAACCCATTTCGTGCCAATTGGTTTTTTTTTTTTTTTTTTTTTCAGGTGGTAATGGGACTAATTCCCAAGTATGGTTGGACTTTAAAGCATCAAGTTCAACATTCATAGCTTTAATCCAAGCAGGATGCCGGCAAGCTTGATGATAGGAAGTAGGTTCTTGGATTCTTGAGACATTAGCTAAGAAATTGATATATGTGTGTGACAGACAAGAAGGATCAATGAAAGGGTAAGTTAGAGGTGTATGTATTTAAGAAAAATGAGATTTATCAACAGATAAGAGCTGTTGGGAATTATGACAGTGCAACACATAATCATTCATCCATTTTGGTGGCTGTTTAGATCTAAGACTTTGCCTAGGTAGAGAATGTGCAATTGGAATAGGTGAAATGTTACTAGACTATGAATGCAGGTCTATATGATTAGGAGACAAATTTTCAGGAAGCAATGCATCAGTAATAGGTTCAGCATGCATAATAGTATCAACTCTAGGTGATGAATGAGTTTCTAACTCAGCAGAAGGTATAGAATCAGAAATGTCAAAATCAGATGTGGATTATAGGTGAGATGTGGCAGGTAAATAACTAGTTTCTGTAGGAAACAAATCTTCAAGATCAGAAGGAATTAATGGCACACATGAAGAATTGTTGGCAGTGGAGTCAGTAGAGAAAGGAAACAGATGTTCAAGAAAAACCACATCTCGAGAAACAAAAATTGTTTTAAAAGACAGATCATAAAGCTTAAAAGCTTTCTAACCTTGACTGTAACCAATGAAACAACATCTATAGCTCTTGGTGGGAATTTATCTTTATGTGGCAGTGTATTGGTTGCATAACAAAGGCAACCAAAAACCTTAAAAGAATCATAGGTAGGAATTTGTTTATACAGTAGTTCATATGGGGATTTCCACTGAAGGCTATTAATGATATGAATTGCCATGACAATGGCATGATCCCAAAACATGATAGGCATATTAGCTTGAAAAATCAGGGCTTTAGCAACTTGAAGTAGATGCCTATGTTTTCTTTTGACAATACCATTCTGCTAAGGTGTGTAGACACATGTTTTCTGATTAATGATGCCTAATGTACGAAATAGTTGCTAACAACTAGAGTTTAGAAATTCAGTTCCATTGTCTGTTCTAATGCTTTTAACTTTAGCATCAAATTGGGTATCTACAAGATGAAAGAAATTTTGTAAAGTAGTGAATGTTTGTGTTTTGTGGGAAAGAAGAAATGTCCATACTGCCCTGCTATGATCATCAACAATGGTCAGCACATACTGTGCTCCTGTAACAGATCTTACTTTATAAGGACCCCATAGATCCAAATGAAGTAAATCAAAAGGTTTAAGAGATGTAGTTCGACTTATAGGAAAAGGTAATCTGGACTATTTTGCTTTGTGACACACATCACAATCTAAAAAAGGTGCATCAATAGATTTGTCAGTAAACTGTAAATGATGCAATGCATTCAAAGAGCTGTGACCAAGTCTCTTATGCCAAAGAGATAATGAGCAATGATCCACTTTATTAGCAGAAAAAGAAGTATTACAAGTAGGAGATAAACACTTAGCTGATATAGCTTGTGTTTTTGTCTTATTACATATAGAAGAATTCCTAAAATGGAGACTGTTTTTGTCCAGAATGTATAAATTCCCAACAAGTTTCCTAACTGTTAATATTTCTTCATTTTGTAGGTCCTACAAAACACAATGTTTTGGGTAAAAAGTAAACTTAAGATTTGCACTAGCATTGAGTTTGGGTACTGAAAGTAAATTAAATTTGAAAGATGGAACATGCAGAGCATCATGAAGGGTTACTTTAGAGCTTAATAGGATATTTCCAATATGATTCACAAACTTTATGGTTCCATCTGGAAAATAGACAGGTGTAGGCTTGGTTACAGGTTTCGGTGAGTTCATAAGTTTCAAATCAACACACATATGGTTTGAAGCACCTGTACCAACAATCCATGTTCCTACTTCTAGGCAATCAATAACTTGTAAGCTATAATTCATACCTACAAAGACCCCTAGATGAGCAAAGTTCACCTTATTATTTTCCAGCTGCATTTTCCCTTTCATCAGCTTTATAACCTCTTGCTGTATAATATCAGTGAGAGATTGTCCCTGCAATCCTTTCTTTTCTTCTTCACCAATGTCCTCAAAATTCAGAGGAGAATCCATCATTTGTGCTGCCATTGCTCTACCCCAGTATTGGCTTTACCTTGCTGACCTTTCAGATCTTTATACCATTCTGGATAACCTATGATTTTGAAGCAAAACTCTCTTGTGTATCTATTTTGGTTACAAAAATCATAGTGTTTATCAACATTCCTCTTCCTATTTTCCTGTTTATTCTTATTTCCCCCATTATAGTTACTGCCATTGCTTCCATATTTCTTTGTTGAATTATTTCCTTGAGTCATCTATGCCTTAGCAAACATAGCAGAAACGCTACTTGAATCTGAAAAATTGATATGAATCTCCCTTTGTTTCTCAATTTTCAAAGCCATATAATAAGCTTTATTAACAGTAGGTAGTGGTTCAAGTACTAAAATTTGGCTTCTTAATTGATCATAAGAATCATTAAGCCTCATCAAGAATTGCATCAAACGATTCAGAGAATTAATATCATTCATCTTCTTTCCTGATCCACAATTGCAATCAGAAACTGGTAAAATGCAGTTCAACTCATCCCAAAGTTTTTTCAATTTAGTATAATACTTCGATATTGTCTCATTTCCCTGTGACACTGAAGCAATTTCCCTCTGAATTTGATAGATCAAAGGTCCATTGCTTTTACCATACTGTTCCTTAAGTTCATTTCATAGTTCTTCAACAGTAGATGTATAAAGAAAAGCACCTACTATGTCACTCAAAACAGAGTTCAATAACCATGACTTAATCATGCAATCAACCATTGACCAAAGTTCAAAATTTTTTTAATCTTGTTCTGGCCTAGGAACTTTTCCATTAATAAACCCTAACTTCTGTTTTGCACCTAATGCAATTAAAACTGATCTACTCCATGCTAGATAGTTTTAGTTACCTGTAAGTAGGAAATTCACCAGTTGCATGCTTGGATGGTCCGAATTTTGTAGCATCATGGAATTCTTTCCATTATTCGACTCCATTTCTTTCAAAACAGGACTTTCGTTAGAATTTGCTAGTGATTCTCCAGCTCCAGTATTACTTGACTCTCTCACCATGTCGAGTAATAACCAATCAGTAAAACAAAGCTTCAAAAGCTCAAAGAAGATTCAGAAGAAACCAGAATTTCTTTCCTGCTCTGATACCATGAACAAACAGAGAAAAGAAAAATTATTTCTGAATAATGCTCACGCATTTCATTTATTTACAAATGACTTTATATACAAAATTGTTAAGCTTTAGCTCACCAATTACTGACTAACTAATTAAGTAACTAATCCAGCTAACTAAAACTAACTCTTAACAGCGTAACAAATAAGCTAAACTTGTTGAATTTCCATTAATAAATCCTAACTTCTGTTTTGCACCTAGTGCAATTAAAACTGGTCTACTCCATGCTAGATAGTTTTCGTTACCTGTAAGTAGGAAATTCACCAGTTGCATGCTTGGATGGTCCAAATTTTGCAGCATCATGGAATTCTCTCCATTATTCGACTCCATTTCTTTCAAAACAAAACTTTCATTAGAATTTGCTGGTGATTCTCTAGCTCCAATATTACTTGACTCTCTTATCATGTTGAGTAATAATCAATCAGTAAAACAAAACTTCAAAAGCTTAAAGAAGATTCAGAGAAACCAGAATTTCTTTCCTACTCTGATACCATGAACAAACAAAGAAAATAAAAATTATTTCTGAATAATGCTCGTGCATTTCATTTTCATTTATTTACAAATGACTTAATATATAAAATTGTTAAGCTTTAGCTCACTAATTACTTACTAACTAATTAAGTAGCTAACTAAAACTATTAACAGCTTAACAAATAAGCTAAATTGTTGAATTACATAAATACCCCTTCCAGATTTAATTCCTACAGTCTTTGAAGTTTGCCACGTCACAGAACAAATTTAAGAAAAAAATAATGGCCCCCATCTGGAAGTCTCCAACTGGGCTCTGCTCCAAACGGCAGCTAGAGTAAGCTCTGTTTCTCTCACCGGTCGGCGTCAATAGAGCAGCAGGTGGAGTCTCAATCGCCTAAGTTTCATTTGTAAGGTAACCACGAGGTACAATTTCTTTATTCATTAATCGAATTTTTCATAATACAGTCTTTTCTTCTTCTTGTGATCGCAAGTCCTGTGTGGAAAATTATTGTTTTTTTGATATTTTTGTTAATAGGTTCGTTGAAAACTAAGAAATGAAATTAACTCCGAGAAAAGTGGAGAAACTAGGACTCCACGGCGCAGATTACCTTTCACAGAAACGACTTCCTCGTGGCTTGAGACTTAATTACACTGAAGCTGTTGCTCTCATTGCCACTCAGGTACTTATTTTCTCCCGCCAATTTCATTATTATAAGCTTAAGATAACTTTTCTATATACATTAATTCTAATGTGAGCCTGAAACAAACAAAATTGATTTTCTAGGTAATATTTTCTAGCCTGAACTTCCAACAGTTTCTTTTTGGCTGTTGATTCACTTTTTGATTTTGTTAAAAAAATGGATTATAGATTCTGGAGTTTGTTCGTGATGGCAATAAAAGTGTGGCAGAACTTATGGATGTTGGAAAGCAACTTTTAGGGAGGTATTATGTGAGTTATGTCTCTCTTGTTATTGTTTGTTTAATTTTATTTTAAGTGTAATTTAGCTGTTCTTTTTTTCTTTAACAGGAGACCAGTTCTTCCAGCCGTTCTGCATCCTTTGGATACTGTCCAGGTATTAAGTTTGAGTATTTTATATGCTAGTATTGAAGTTTCATTTTGAACCTAGCAGTATGGTTGAGTAAATGAATGTTGAACTCCTTTAAAAATTGTGGCTTCTGTTTTGCTGAAGTAAGGAAGTCTGATCGCAGGTTGAAGGAACATTTCCTGATGGGACAAAGTTGATCACTATAAATGACCCAATTGCAAGTGAAAATGGGAACTAGAGCTAGCTTTGCATGGTTCTTTCCTTCCAGGTTAGGACTTGGCTTAGTTTGTAAATTTGGTTAATTCCATAAGGACATCTGGTGTAAGCTCTCTTCGGGTACCCTTTCAAATTCTTTATTTCATCACAATAATTTTAGCTTCAAGGAAATTTTTCTGCTTGCCTTTAAACCTAAGAGTTGTTATTTGTACAGTTCATATCCTAAAAAAGATCTTTTAAAAAGAAAAGCCAAAAATAAAAAAGTTTCTCATGATGACTGGCAAACACTGTATATACATTTTTGTTTTCTTTCCCTTTAACAAATTTGTGGGCAGCTATGGCATTTACATCCTAAGTTCTAGACACTAAGTTAATTCCCAAAGAGACTTGTGGAAATTTGACCATTGATCTGGAAAATGTTTGGATAGTTGGACTTAAAAGATTGAGATTCCTGATGAGCCAGGACAGAATAATTCTTTGAAAAATTTATGGAAACAGCCTTCCATATTCATAATAGAATTGAACGTTTTCATTCCTGCTCATGTTCCTATGTGATGAAGTTTTCCTAGAAATATGTATTATTTGCTCTACATGTAAGAGTCTGACAGACTCATGAACAGTGATGGAAGAGCATTAATTTTGCAGTGCCAGCTCTAGACAAATTTCTAGAAATAGAGGATGGCAAAATTCCTGGGAGAGTTATCTCTAGAGATGGATCAATTACACTTAATCATGGAAGGAAAGCAGTAATCCTCAAATTTGTTAATACTGGAGACAGGCATTCAGGTCCTTGCCTTTCGTTCCTATTTCATATTTATATACTCTTTCCTTGGTGTGTCATCCAACTAAGGCTAATTTTACGTACAATGTTTGGCTGCGAGTCAACTTTTTACTTATTATTTGACTTGAGATTTTCAAAGACGAAACTTCTACATTACATTGATGATAATTTGGCCAAAATAAATATTTCAGATGTTTTATATTGAATCACTAGGATGGTGTTGGCAAAAATAATTTAAAAATATTTCAGGGCAAGGATCTATTCCAGAAATTACCAGCACACCAGCTGGTATCTTTATTGGTATTTTTGTCATGTAAACTTTGTTATTTTAAGTAGTAATGTGTCAAGATGCATCCTCTTTTAACTGACCTGTTTGCATTAACAAGTTGACTGGGAATTAAATTTTTTGTCTACTTATTGATCGATTAGCTTTCGCGCAGGTTGGTAGCCATTATCACTTCATTGAGGTCAACCCCTGCATGATTTTTGATCGAAGGAAAGCATATGGCATGCGCTTGAACATACCAGCAGGAACAGCTACACGATTTGAGGTTGAATCTCTTGCCTTAATTATTTCTGACATCTATAATGATCTATTTTATTGATTTCACACAATTAAGGAATTGCTTACCTTTATCTTTTGAAAATAATTCTTATCAAATGAGCATGCCTTGGTGATACCTTTACAGGCTGAATAATTTTGGCTTCTTGTATCATTGTGTAGAACTCAATCTTTGTAATTAGGACACAGTTTTTAATCAGCACAAAATAATTAGGAGAGCCACTAAAGAGATTATGCTGAAAATTCCTGAGACAAGCTTCAATGGGAGTTTAAGATAATATTAACGTTTTTGGTGGGTTTATTTTGTCAAAATCTTCTAGGGAACTTCTTAGATTTTATGAAATAGAGAGTAATGGTAGTCTGTGTTAGGAGAGAGCTGACCCCTAATTTCTCTATCATTTATGGAATATTTACGATTCCCTTATATTCATGAGCTGAGACATATCAGTGCTTTATATCAATGTTTTCTGTGCATTTTAAGTTCTTTACTGGAACATCTTTTACTTTGTCAGCCGGGGGAAAGTAAAATGGTCAAACTTGTCAGTATTGGAGGTAATCAAGTGATCACAGGTGGAAGTGGAATTGTTGATGGTCATGTTGGTGCCAAATTCACAGAAGCAATGGAAGCTGTAAGCGTTAGAGGATTTGGGAACCAAGAAGAGCCAAATGCTAGGTTTAGCATTTCTTCCAAGCAATTTTTTGCTGCTTGTTTTACTTTTATTCAAGTTATTAACAGGATTATTGATTAAGAATCCCATTCAATAGAATAACTGGTTCAACAAAGTTGCCTTAACTCAGCACTGATTCGGCAGTGAAGGTACAACTGGAGAAGGTCCTTCTTTCACCACTGTTATTACTCGGGAAGCTTATGCTAACATGTATGGCCCCACCACTGGTGACAAAATTCAGCTTGGAGATACAGACTTGTACGCTGAAATTGAAAGAGATTTTGCTGTTTATGGTGAAGAATGTGTATTTGGAGGCGGAAAAGTCATAAGAGAAGGCATGGGCCAGTCATGCACGCATCCACCAGCTGACTCTCTGGATACTGTAATAACAAACGCTGTGATCATTGATTATAGCGGAATTGTTAAGGCAGATATTGGTATTAAAGATGGTCTTATCATCACTCTTGGGAAAGCTGGCAATCCAGATATCATGAACGATGTACATCCTAATATGATAATTGGGGTAAGTTCCATCACAAAAGTGAGAATTTAGAAGCAATAATAAAGTTGTAATTTGCTAGCTGTCACCGGCACATACTAAAACCTGCTCATTTTTCTCAGGCTAACACTGAGGTTATAACTGGAGAAGGATTTATAGTAACTGCAGGGGCCATAGATTGTCACGTGCACTTCATATGCCCTCAACTGGCATATGAGGCAATTTCAAGTGGTGAGAAACATAGTGTCCAATATTTAGACATTGTGTTCGTGTAAAATGTGGATAAAGTTGGAATATGTTATACTTGTATCCTTACTTTTGAAGATATTTGTGAATTTATTTGGTAGTTGATTTTCATGTTTTTTCTTTCTCCAATGGTGAGAGTGGGGAGAAGAATGGAGATCTCACCTTGGATGTTATAAAGTTTACAATAATATCCACCTGGATAATGTAAAGAACATATCAAATTCATGATTGATGTGAAAGAATGGTTACAACCATCAAGTATGGCTTCATGGAAACACATATATTTGGATATGATAATGATTATCCTTCTGAGTGTTGCACTGGTAATGAGCCTGTTTCGTTGAATTGGTTTGATCAAAGTCAATATGGGTGTAATGAGAATATGGATGTGATGCATCTGAATTAAGATTTTTAGCAACAGTTGACTGTGGAAACAGAAACTTATAAACCAACCCATTTACAAAAGTTTTTGATGAGATTTTCACCCAAACCTTTAAATATATGTAGGCATTACAACGTTAGTGGGAGGTGGAACTGGACCTGCTGATGGGACACGTGCAACTACTTGTACACCAGCTCCATCAAATATGAAGTTAATGCTGCAATCAACTGATGACTTGCCTCTAAATTTTGGCTTCACCGGAAAGGTATGCTTATGTGTTTTTGTACTTATTTCCTATTTAATTCTTCAAGACGGTTCAAGGCAGATATCTCATCTTGTCATTATCTGATATGACCAGATGATTTATCCCAAAGATAAAAGTCTGGATGGCTTAAAGCCTTCATCTTTGAACTTTATTAGTCCTTCCATTGCTCCTTCTGCTTCATTATTCAATATCATTTGTTTCCTTCAGGGAAACAGTGCCAAACCCAATGAGCTACATGAAATAATTAGGGCTGGAGCCATGGGGTTGAAGCTGCATGAGGACTGGGGAACTACTCCTGCAGCAATAGACAATTGTTTGGCTGTTGCTGAAGGATATGACATTCAGGTTTACCTCTAACCTGAATCCTCTTAAATTATATACTTGAACAGTTTATGAGTTTACATTTAAAACAGTCTGTTTTTACCTGGTAATTGTGCAGGTTAATATCCATACTGACACATTGAATGAATCTGGATTTGTGGAACACACAATTGCTGCATTTAAAGGGAGGACTATTCATACTTACCACAGGTAGAAGTTGCATGTTGCTGTCCACCACAACACACAAATGCTCTCACTTTTGCTATATGTTTTTCAATCTTCCCGGAAATCTAATTCATAATTGGACCATTAAATGCTATTACAAAAGCAAAGTTTCGTTATTTCAAGATGCATTGTAAATGAGACTTTGCATGTAGAGATGAAATAGCCAAATTTTACTAGTTTTCCATTGTTGAAACACATCTTGGTATTGGCATCAGAAAGGCTACAATAATGCATCTTGACCCAGTTGATTGTATGATAATATGCATCCTTTTTTATGCTTTAGGTTCTTTCGCTGTCAATAAGATGAGGCAATAAGTTTTAATAGTTTTCCCATGTATCTTTAAATTGTATTACTTGTGAATAGGGTAAATCGTTGATGTACAACATCTGATTGAGAACAAGTATATTTGACTTTGTTATGAGGATGATATAGGTTGGTCATTTAAGATATATGGTCAAATTTTAAGTTTCAATGCCATAACTTTCTTTTTTGACTTAATTTCAGTTATTTTATTTCTTTCGTGTATTTTCTTAATTATTTGGCGAATTTTCCATATTAACGGTTCAATTGATTAACAATTTAAGATTAATTCATTCTAAATTGAACTTCTAAAATAGAACATGTCAGGATATTTATGATATAAATCATGATTATGAACAGATATATTACAGTTGGATTTTTCTGGTGCTATTTAATCATAATTTTATTTTAATTGCTAATAGTAATTTGCATGCCTCCTCAAAAAATGGAGTCATTGAAATCCATTGCACTAATGCTATTATTTTTCTATAATTTTGTTGATCTCTTTCTTTTTTCTTTTTCTTCATTAAGAGTAAACAAAGGATAAATTGGGGGAGAAACTATGAAATCTATGTAACTTTTATGGTTTGTTTTTTATAAGCCGGCAGTGCATAAAGTGTACACCCTTAAGGGGCGTAATAGACATTAAGAAGGTCGTTAAGGGGAAGGGTCCACAATTCACAGGTGGCATGGGCAGGAGTCTGTTAGGAGAATATGATTTGTGTGAGTTAGGGCAATTGTGGAAAAGGGGATAGTATATAAACAGGTAAGAGAAGCAGTAGTATTCAGCTTATTTGATTGATAAAACAGTGGAGGTTCCTGGCTCCTCGAAACGCCAGGACTTATGGTTACAGTTCCAGTTCATTCCATTTTTATCTGTTTCCCATTTATCTTTCTATTATCAGATTAATACAAATAGTGTTGAGTTGCATATTCTGTTTATTGCGTTATATTGGTTGTGGATTGACTGTGTGTTGGTTTCTTGTGTGAGAATTATTGCTGGTTGGTTGTGGATTGAGTCTGACTGTAGGTGATCGTATCAATTGGTATCAGAGCCAGAGTGGGGAATGGTAAAATCAAAAATGGAGAATAGGATGGATAACGTAGAGAAGGAGATGAATACAGTAAAGGAAGACATAGGAACCTTGAAGATTGACATGGGTAGTGTGAAGGAATATTTGACATAAATGAGGGAATTAATGTGCATGAGAGAAGAAAGAAAAGGAAGAAAAGACCAAGAAAGAGAGAAATCCTCTTCATCGGCAGAGAACTAGAACACCAGAAGAGATAAGGAACCAGATCGGGAATACAGTGGGAAAGAGGATAAAAAGAACACACGCAAGCTGGAGTGGCCAGTCTTTAATGGCGAGGATCCGTTTGGATGGTCCTTCAGAGCAGATTGTTGCTTCACCATCAACCGTTATCAAGAGACGGAAATGGTGGAAGCAGCAACAGTTTGCATGGAGGGGAGAGCTCTGAGCTGGTATCAATGGGTTGAATCCAAAGCACCATTTCAATCATGGGAAGCATTCAAAACAGCATTGATTGATCGTTTTCGGCCATCATTTAAGGGATCTGCATATGAGGCTTTAGTAGCCCTGAAGCAAGACGGGACAGTCACAGAGTATAGGGAACAGTTTGAAGCCAACGCTGCGCCATTGAAGGATCTGGGTGAAGATCTGTTAAAGGGAATCTTTGCGAATGGGTTAAAGGAAGAAATAAAAACAGAGTTACGTTTGTCTCAGCCCACTTCATTATTTGGGCTGATGGATCAAGCCCACAGGGTTGAGGAAAGGAATTGGGTGCTTGAAAAACAAAGACCCAGGCCAATTAAAAATCAAATGGGTCGAGGGGAGCCCTATTCACGGGTCAGCCCAAACTCGGAAGTCACGCGCACTAACTGGTGGAACTCCAGCGCAAAGCCCCCAGATCCCCTTTCGTTTTCGTCAAACTTCAACAAAGGATCTGAGCGAAGAGAGAAAACGACTGAGTCTGTGGGGTCAGTCAAACTGAATGACAACTTCCGACGACTTTTCGATGCCAAAATACAGTACAAGCGAGAGCGAGGGTTGTGTTACCGTTGCGACGAGAAATTTGGGCCAAACCACAGGTGTAAAAATAGATCTCTGCAAGTCCTACTACTCCTGGATGACGAAGATACAAACCCACCAGAAGTTGAGACAGAAACTGATGAGGAAGCCAACGGTGAAGGTAAATCCTTAGCTCTTTTGATGAACTCCATGTGGGTATTTCTTCGGGAAAAAATCTGAAGTTAAAAGGGTAGATTGGGAATGAAAGTGTGGTGGTGTTGGTGGATAGTGGGGCTTCCCACAATTTTGTTTCCCATGAAGTTGTACAGAAGCTAGGGCTGAAGGTGGATAAGGGGAGACCTTTTGGAGTTATGGTTGGGGATGGATGTACCATTCGGGGAGAAGGAATTTGTAAAGCAGTGAGGCTGAAGCTCCAGGGGATTGAGATCCAACAGGAGTTTTTTCCGTTTGAATTAGGAGGTGCAGACATTGTGTTGGGAATTACGTGGTTGAGTAGTTTGGGGGATGTGAGTGCCAATTGAAAGAGTCTAACGATGGAATTTGACTGGGAAGGAAAAAGGGTAAAACTGCTAGGGGATCCTCTACTGGTAAAGACTGAGGTCTCACTGAAAACTATGGTCAGGTCTTTGCATGCTACAGGAACTGGCTACGTAATGGAGTTTGGAGCCATAGGGCTGAAGGAAGAGCCAATGCAGGAGGAAACTGACCCTGGAATATTAGAGGTGATAGATAGTTACCCCTATCTATTTGACCAAAATCCTCAATTACCACCCCATAGGGCCCATGACCATGCCATAGAACTTCAACCAGATTCCAAACCACCCAATATCCGGCCTTACAAATACCGGTATTTTTAGAAGAATGAAATCGAGAGGCTGGTTGGGGAAATGTTGACTGTCGGGATTATACAGCCTAGTGTTAGCCCATACGCTAGTCCTGTCCTATTAGTCAAAAAGAAGGATGGGAGTTGGCGATTTTGTGTGGATTATCGGACATTAAACAACATCACAATACCCGATAAATTCCCAATACCGACCATTGAAGAGTTACTTGATGAATTGGTTGGGGCAACGATTTTCACAAAATTGGATTTAAGGTCAGGATACCATCAAATTAGGGTGCGAGAGGTTGATGTTCCCAAGACAGCCTTTTGCACTCATGAGGGGCATTAGGAGTTCCTTGTGATGCTTTTCGGACTCACGAATGCGCCCTCAACATTTCAAGCTTTAATGAACTCAGTATTTAGGCCTATCCTCCGTAAATTCATCTTGGTCTTCTTTGATGACATCCTTGTGTACAGCCTCTGCATCTCCACACACATCCAACATTTACAACTAACCTTTCAGATTTTGTAGGAACACAAGCTGGTTGTTAACAAGAAAAAATGCTCGTTTGGCCAATCTAAGCTGGAGTATTTGGGTCACATGGTTTCAGAAAAGGGAGTAGAGGCAGATCCGAAAAAGATTGAGGCGTGACCTGTGAATGTGAAAGGATTGAGAGGATTTCTTGGGCTGACAGGTTATTACCGGAGATTCGTAAAAGGGTATGGTTCAATCGCACATCCCCTCACTCAGCTACTGAAAAAAGACTCCTTCACTTGGAATGATTCGGAGCAAGTGGCTTTTGATCGGCTCAAAAAAGCCATGATTACTGTTCCAGTTTTAGCAGTTCCAGATTTCACACTTCCATTTGAAATTCAGACAGAAGCATCCGGAAGATGTCTTGGGGCTGTGTTAGTACAGCAGTCTCAACCTATAGCCTTCCTCAGTAAGGCATTCTCCTCTACCGCCAAGCTGAAATCAATTTACGAGCGAGAATTGATGGCCATTGTCTTTGCGGTCAAGAAGTGAGGTCACTATTTGCTTGGCAGAAAATTCATAATTAAGACTGATCAGCGCAACCTCCAATTTTTAACGGACCAAAGATCAAAAACCCCGGAGGAACACAAATGGATTTCCAAGCTGATGGGTTTTACCCTTGAAATTCAGTACTATCCAGGGGCTTCCAACCGAGTAGCAGACGCTCTTTCAAAGATGGGTAGACAGGACTGAATTGGCCAACCTTACTGCCCTATCGGTGGTACAGTTTTCGGAGTATGAGGACATGGCATCGGAGGCCCAAACAGATCCGAAACTCGGGGAAATCATACAGGACCTTCTCCTTGATTCTTCTAGTCGACCTAACTACCATCTCCGCAGGGGCTGCCTATTCTATAAGGACAAGTTGGTTATTCTAAAAGGGTCCAGATTTGTCTCCACATTACTGGCTGAGTTTCATCAGAGTCCTAGTGGAGGCCACTCGGGGTTCTTCAGAACATACAAGAGAGTCTTTTCGATAGTTTATTGGGAGGGCATTCGGGGAGATGTACAACGCTATATTAAGGCTTGCACTACCTGTCAACTAAATAAACAGTCGTCATTAAAACCAGCCGGACTCCTCCAGCCCCTGCCCATTCCAAATCAGGTTTTTAAGGATCTCTTTATGGACTTTATAGGGGGACTACCACGTTCGAAAGGAGTGGATACCATTTTTGTAGTCGTTGACCGCTTTACCAAGTACAACCATTTTTTTAGTCTCAGACACCCCTACCATGCAACGGATGTGGCTGCCATATTTGTTAAAGAAGTAGTCAGGCTCCACGGTTTTCCTAATTCCATTGTTTCTGACAGAGACAAACTTTTTATGTGTCAATTTTGGCAGGAGTTGTTGGCTGCCGGCACTGTTCTGAAATTTAGTTCGGCTTACCATCCACAGACAGATGGGCAAACAGAGGTGGTCAATAGGTGCCTCGAGGCATATGTCCATTGTTTCTGCAGTTCTCAGCCACGGCAGTGGCCTATGTGGCTTACTTAGGCAGAATATTGGTATAACACAACCTATCACGGCTCCATTCGAATGACTCCATTTAAGGCCCTCTATGGACGAGACCCCCCCACCCTTTTAAAATTCATAGACTGCCCTTCAGCCGTGGAAGATATCAATTTCCAAATGACTGAGAGAAATGCCATGTTAATGGAGCTTCAGGATAATTTAGCTGTGGCTCAAGCTCACATGAAGCACAATGCTGACCTGCATCGGCGAGACGAGTGCTTCCAGCCTAGTGATTCAGTTTTTCTGAAGCTACAGCCCTACAGGTTTAAGTCCTTTGCCCGGAAATTGAATGAAAAACTCAGTCTGCGTTTCTATGGTCCCTACACTGTTTCTCAGCTCAAGAAGAGCTTACATCAATTGGTGCCCATCCAGCCCCTTCCGGAATAACTCTCTGAAGACTTGGAATTATTGGTCTAGCCAGATGCTGTTCTCTCTGTGCGTACTCTGTTAGATGGGTCTAAGGAGGTTCTCATCAAATGGCAGAATTTACCTGAGTTTGAAGCCACCTGGGAACCATTTGACGTGATTAAAATACAGTTTCCTCAGGGGGGGTATTGATAAGCCGGCAGTGCATAAAGTGTACACCCTTAAGGGGCGTAATAGACATTAAGAAGGTTGTTAAGGGGAAGGGTCCACAATTCACAGGTGTCATGGGTAGGAGTCTGTTAGGAGAATATGATTTGTGTGAGTTAGGGCAATTGTGGAAAAGGGGATAGTATATAAACAGGTAGAGTCTAGCAGCAGTATTCAGCTTATTTGATTGATAAAACAGTGGAGGTTTCTGGCTCCTCGAACGCCAGGACTTATGGTTACAGTTCCAGTTCATTCCATTTTTATCTGTTTCCCATTTATCTTTCTATTATCTGATTAATACAAATAGTGTTGAGATTGCATATTCTGTTTATTGCGTTATGTTGGTTGTGGATTGACTGTGTGTTGGTTTCTTGTGTGAGAATTATTGCTTGTTGGCTGTGGATTGAGTTTGACTGCAGGTGATCGTATCAGTTTTGAAGTTACTTTTTTGTATCTTTTTGCACAGTGAAGGTGCAGGTGGTGGTCATGCTCCAGATATTATCAAAGTTTGTGGTGAGAAAAATGTCTTGCCTTCATCAACAAACCCAACACGGCCTTTTACATCTAATACTATCGATGAACATCTTGACATGCTGGTATGAGAAGACAACGGCAATAATGACAAAAAGGTTTAAAGAATTTGTTATTCTCAATTTTCTTTGAATTATTGCAGATGGTTTGCCATCACCTGGACAAGGACATTCCAGAAGATGTAGCTTTTGCTGAGTCAAGGATAAGAGCTGAAACGATCGCTGCGGAAGACATATTGCATGATATGGGTGCAATTAGCATTATATCTTCTGATTCGCAGGCTATGGGTCGAATCGGAGAGGTTCTTTATTGCTTTTTTCCCCTTAAACTGTTTGTTTGGCATACAGTCTTTCTCCACATGATTGGTAAATAGTTTTGATTGTTTCCATTTTAAGTGACTTGTATTGATAATTGCAAGTGACTTTAGAAGCTTATATCTTATGGAAAAAGACCACCAGTTAGAAGAAAGTTATGATTTGGACTATATTAGAAGCATTCAAGTTATTCAAATATGCGTTGAATTAAGGTCATAAAGAAAACATTTGTGTACAAAGATACATATTTATAGCATTTGAAACAGCATACATATAGATATAGACTACGTAAGGAATGTCACTGAGTAGGACCGAGACACTGTTGGAACACTCAGTAATATGTAATACGTGTTTCAAAGAGAGAGATCAATATACTTTCTTGCTCTGAAACTCCTGATTCTGCATTATTTATGTTCTTTCAGCATTAAATCCGTGTAGCATGTAACTTATCTGTTAAAGGCCTGTAACGACCAAGGCATTTCAACTATCCAAATCTTAGAATTGAACTGCTACCTGTTACCAGGTGATATGTAGAACTTGGCAAACTGCCCACAAGATGAAATCACAGAGAGGACCAATTGGTCCTAGTGCATCCGACAATGACAATCTTAGGATCAAAAGATACATAGCAAAGTACACTATCAATCCAGCAATAGCTAATGGGTTTTCTCAATTTGTTGGTTCTGTCGAGGTACGCAAGTTCTAACCTCTATGAACTCATTTATGCTGTAACTTGGTCTGTCTTATGTATAAGAAATTAATTGTTTTGAACTATTGTAAAAAAATCTTTTTTTTGGGTAAGTAACTACTGTAAACTTAGTATTGGATTCACATTAAAATTCTGTGGGTGATAACTACAGTACAAGGTTTAATTAGAAAGGTATGCATGCTAATATACATTAGATTGATACACAATTCTGTCATTCAATTTAGCATCACATGATTTATTTATCTAATCTATAATTGGAACCTTATGTTCTGGGGTAATCCATCAAACATCAGCCATTGTATTCTATAATATTATTCTAAGACAATGTATTCTCATTGTGATTAATCATACTTCTGCAGGTAGGAAAGTTGGCTGATCTTGTTCTATGGAAGCCATCTTTCTTTGGGGCAAAACCTGAAATGGTGATCAAAGGTGGTGTAATTGCCTGGGCTAACATGGGCGATCCAAATGCAAGCATTCCCACACCTGAGCCGGTATATGCTGATACTATTGCTATATTTATATAATCAAAAGACTAAGACTACTGGTTGCTCACCTTGGCGAGTTCAAAATGGTTTAAAGCAAAAGCCTAGTCATCCAACATGCTTAGACCACTGGTTTCTGACGCATTTAAGACATGATTTGTTGCAGGTTTTGTCAAGGCCAATGTTCGGAGCATTTGGCAAGGCTCCAAGTGCCAACTCCATAGCCTTTGTCAGCAAGGTCTGATCTCTTATCTCTTTCTTTATCCTTCTCTCTTTCTCTCAACCCCTGAATGACATTTAAACAGCTTTCTTTTGTCACAAGCAGGCTGCTTTAGATTGTGGAGTAAAAACCTCATATGGACTGAACAAGAGAGTGGAAGCCGTGGGCAACGTTAGAAAACTCACAAAGTTGGACATGAAGCTCAACGACTCCCTCCCAAATATCTCAGTAGACCCAGAGACATACACAGTGAAAGCAAACGATGAGGTTCTTACTTGCGCTGCAGCCACAACAGTTCCCCTTTCCAGGAATTACTTCCTCTTTTAGTCATCATCCAGAACCATTTCTGAACTAAAAATAAACAAAGATCATTCAAAATTGAGTCTCACTTTTTCAAAACAAGGTAACAAAAACTCTTTAGTTAAATAAAAGCAGTTTATATCTCTTGAAAGTATTTGTCTGTTTCTAAGAACAAGGAAAACGTGTGTTTGTCTGTTTTAGAAAACATGTCAACACAATCTATCAAAATTTAATGAAGCAGAATGCAAGTGACCAAACGTAATGGTGGGGTCTATATACATGTGAAACACTTCTGAGTTTTGTCTTCTCTTTCATGTCTGTATGTAAGATTTAAGGAGTTTGAAAATAATCCTCAACATTGTTTTTCGGAAACATTAAACAATTGAGGACCAGTAATCGTTGTAGCTTTGATAGATATGGAGTCTTGAAATGAATAGAACTTTAGGATCAGTTCCCATCAGCTGGTGATGTGTTAGCTTTTCCTTGTCAGAAGTTTCAACCATGGTTTAGCTCTTTGCTTTCTTCATCACAATTCACAAATTGATTTTCAATGACAGTGCATGCTTCATGGTGGGGGCTTCATTATGTGCCACTTATTATCATGGCATTTCCATATTCCATTTTCAAGTGCATGTCCTATTCTGTGAGATATGTTTTTTCCTTGTCTATTTCACTATTTTTTTGCCTTTCATTCAGGGTAAATAAATCAATTATAGAATAAATAATATCTTTATGAATAACTACTGACATCGTAAATCATTTGAACGAACTTGTTGACTAATTAAATTAGATTTAAAAAAAAAAAAAAATTCAGAGAACTAATAACCTTAAAAGGATGGAGAAACCACCATTGGGTGGTCTAACGGTCAATTGGGACTCTTTAGAGTCTGCTTGGGAGTTTGAGGGTAACGATTACGAGGGTAAATCATCGTAGTGAGGGGTTTTTAGTAGCGGTTTTTAAAACACCCAATCTGTGCTTGGAAGTTTATTTTTTAACGGTTCTGACAGTTTTTTTAAATGATAAATTTACATAAATGCCTATAGGGTCAGTTTGGTTCGGGGTTAAGTGACATTACTGGGGTAATGTCATCTTATATTACTTGATTACCACGTTTGGTTGTCAAGTAATATAAGATACCAGTAATCTTCAAATACCAATAGTGGTTACTATTGGTAATATAAGAGGTAATCTGATTACCTCCATTTTCTTAGGTTTTCTGAGATTACCAGGGTTATCTTTTTTTGTTACAATTTTATCCCTTATTAATAAAAATTTTGGACAATAATACCCCTACTTTAAAACAAATTTACATTAATATCCTATTTCAATTTTACCCTTGTTTAATTAAAATTTTGGACAATAATGCCCTTATATTTAAAATAATTTACAGACCACCACTGCCACCAAGCCACCACCACCACAGCCACCCAGCCACCACCGCCGACAGCGGGTCAACCACCACGGACCACCGTCGGAAAATTGCCGGAGTCCCTAAAAACACTGGAAATTCTGTGGGAGGCTCCGGGAGGCTTCGATATGGCCGTTTTTGGCCATATTGATGGCCGAAAACGGCCATATCGGGCCAGATCTGGCCGGAAATGGCCAGAATAGGAAATGGCCAGATCTATTCTGGCCATTTCCGGCCAAATCGAGGGATCTGGCCGTTAACGGCCAGATCCCTGGCCATTATCGGCCAGGTCTGGACCAGACCTGGCCGTTAACGGCCACAGATCTGGCCGTTAGCTAAATCTCAATGGCCAGAGGCATCACACAGTTTTTACACCATTGCAAAAACTTTACTACGACTTTGTCTTGTGTCAATTCTTTTTCAAAAGCTAATTTGCAGATAAAGTGTGAGAGAATAAAAACTGGGTCAATCAGATTTTAGACAAAGAGTGATTACACAAAAACAAACGTATGAAAAGGGCTGAAGAGTAGTCTCACCATTTAAGGACCACTGTGGTGAAAGACAAAATCACAAGAAAAGTAGCTTCAATTTTTGGTCTGTTTATTTATAAGAAAAGTATGTTTCAAGTGAAAATAAGAACCATGTATCATGAAAGCATGATTTAGTGACGATTTACGTGTCATATCATCACTCAAGCCTCTTACCGCACCTAATTAAAGACAAGAAAACTGACCCACGCTAGCAAAGCTATTACATTCAAATATCAAAGCAAAGTCACATAAAAATGGAAGGTGAATTCAGAGCTTTTAGTTTCTCGCTCCTTACTTGTAAACGAACCTCTTTCTAAATTTGGGTTGCCACCAGCTCTCCACTAATCCTCTCAATTCAACATTCATAATTCACTAAAAGACTTTCATCAGTTTTAAGTAATCTATGGAGTATGGCATTCAGAGCAACTGTACAGTTCTTAGAACAAGTTCATCTCTGTCATTTGCATATAGTGTTGTGATCTTGACAATAAACAAATTTGCAGGGTTACTGGAGATCAATGTTCGATCGTTCGAGTGGAAACTGGCCATATACAATATCAACTACTCCCAAGATGAAACTCTTTGCTCAAACTACTGACTCAGCTGAAGCAAATCGACATTACAACAAGTATAAAATATATATCAAAATTCTTCTCAAACATTTTGAGCTTACACTATATAAGTGAAAAATTTTTATATTTAGATGGTTTCTACTACCTTTAAATGGAGTCCTACCAAGCAGTAATTCATACAAGAAAATATCAAACATCCACCAATCAACAACACTACCATGACCATCTCCTCTTATTATCTCAGGAGCTAGTGAGATTACATATTCCAACATAATGCATCAAAGAAAAGCTAGTAAAATAAAGAATCAACTCATGAACAGGCATCAAAATCCAATCATGACAATCACATTCAAGAGTTTAAAGCAAAAGTGACGAATGATCAATAATGCAAATACTTTGACAAATCCATAAAAGAAGCAAGAACTCATATGGGAAATCACCTTGTCTCGTGTAATTATTCTCTTCGTTGACGCCTAATTTGCTGAAAGTGAGGAGAATCTAATACAAACCCAAACGAGTTGTGTGCAGCAAATTAAAACCATTTACTCACTTCGTGTGCAACAGCAAGAGATTTGTGTGCTAGAGAGAAGTGAACAGCAGCGACAGATTTGAGAGATTTGTGTGCTAGACAGAACTGAACAGCAACGACAAATTTGTGTGCAGCAAAGGGAGTGGAAATGGGTTTTTTTGGGACAAAAATTTTAAACCATTCAAAACACCCCAATTTGGGGTGTTTTATAAACCCCTTAAAAATACACTACACTGGTTTTGGGGGGTTTTTAAATCAGTCAAAACCAGCCTATTAAAAATCTGGCAAGTGAGGGTTTTAAAACACCTCAAAACCAATCTAATTAAAAGCCCCCCAAAACCAGTGAAACAAAAACTCCCAAGCAGACCCTTAAGTGTTTACTTAAGAGGTTTTAAGTTTGATTCACCTAGGTTACTAATAGAGGTGACCATATTGAGGATTTATCCGATTGTCAATTTCAGGATTCTGGAAGATTAGCTGAAATGTGTACAAACTGAACTTGACACCTTGAACACATATAAAAAAAAAAAAAAAAAAAAAAGCATGAAGACTAACGTTCTATCCAATGTAGATGATATTATAATGTAATCTTAGCATGCTAAAAAACTTGGATCTACTCAAAACATATGATAATCAAAGTATAATTAATAATTAAATATGATAATGGTTAAATAATTGTGACACTATAATCTCTATACATACCTCGTGATTAAATTTATTTTTAAAAGATTATGAAGATTTTTGAGTTTTGATGGGGACAGAACAGACAAGTGGGGCTGGATTTAAGTTAGCCGCCCCAAATATATGGGTCACGAGACTCACGTGCAGACGTGCTACTTGTTTAAATTATTAAATAAAAAATTGTGGCTCCAAATTTCTCTATCTGTCGTAATCACTATCACTTACATACACGTAAGTAAATCTCGTACAACTTGTTTTGTAATAAGGATTTTAATAAAAAGTGTGGTTTCTGGAAGCAATTATTAAAATCCAGAAGGTGATATTAAGACTAAAGTAAGTCAAACATTTTAACTCTTGTTTTTAGATCACAACATATTAATTAAGAGATATGTTTTATTTTTTTAATTCGATTTGTACAGATGATTCACGTTGTTCAGTTGAGGAAGTCAACATTCAACAGTCCATTTTTGTCTTCTATAAACAATAGTTTTACATCATTAAAATAAGACTTTGATTATTAAATACTATTTTTTCGATGCTCTCATTTTAATTATAATGAAATTAATAACTCATTTATATAAACAAAGAATAATAAAAATATCAATATTATAATGCATGAGGGGACTAATAAAATTACTCATAACTATTATTAGGATGGGTCGGGCATAATACAATGTCATATAAGTGCATGATAAATTTTAATTAGTTCTGAAAAAATTAGCTAAAATGTATGTAAGTTGAGATTAAAAAAAAATAATTAATTAAATTTTTTATTTAATATATTAATACTGCGTTGTAGCATAACTACTGCACTATAGCCAAAACCCGTAAATAACAGATGGTGCACTGAAAAATCATGCCTCTACCATATTATTTTATTTTAATAAGTAAATAAATTTTTCGTTTTCCTTGATAATACTTTTTTCACCTAAAAAGTTTCAAAATATCATTTTCACTCAAAATTTATATTTCGTAAATACTTAAAATATACTTTATTTTCTCAATCAGTGTTCGACGAGTTATTAAAAGTGAATGTAAGAGAGATTTTATACAGTGAAGGCCAGTGGATAGAATAGTAATGATTGATTGAATATTCGTTGTCAACATTAGTTAAAAATCGGTTAAGAACAGGAAACTCTAGTTTTAGTAGTTATCGGCAACCAATGAGAAAATATGTGGTAGATTGAGAGAAATTTTATAGAGAAGAGACCGGAGGTTCAAATGATGATGATGAAAAGAATTTTTGTCATCAAAATCAGTTTTGGATAATAATGGAATATTAACTTTGGGTGAAAAGGGGATATTTTGAAACTTTTTTAGTGAAAATGTGACCTTACAGTCAGCTTTGGGTGAAGAAAACCCAAAGTTTGGAGAAACGACACTTTTCCACCCTTCAAGTTTTAAAATGACACTTTCCCAACCTTCGTTAGGTTTTGTTATATTTTCCGTTAATATTTTATTGAACAGATAAAAATGCCCATAAATATTTGACTTTATAAATTTTTTATTTAACCAAAAATTCAAATATTAAAACGTTAAAA